AGCTTGCTGCAGACCCCACGGCCTTTCGTTTCCTAGCAGCAGCAGCAGCAGCAGCAGCAGCAGCACCTCGCTGAGAGGCGCTGCGGCCACAGCGTTTGCCAGCAGCAGCAGCAGCAACCTGCCCCCTCCTTGTCTTTGCAGCAGCAGCAGCAGGAGAAGCAGCAGAAGCAGCAGCACCACCATCTATTGGAGACGCAACAGCATCACAACATGCATCATCTGCTGCTGCTGCTGCTGCTGCAGCTGCTGCTGCTGCTGTTGCTGCTGAGGCCTCAACCGTCGCATTAGGGTGGACTGCAGCAGCAGGTTGCTGCTCAGCCTCTTCCGCTGCAACTTCAGGAGCAGCAGCACCAACAGCAGGAGCAGCAGCAGCAGCAGCAGTTGCTGCTGCTGCTGCTGCTGCTGCTGCTGCTGCTGCTTTTCTTTCCTCTGCTGCTCTGAGCTCCGCTAGGATTTGTCTGGCTTTCATTTCTTCTTTTTGAAATCGAAGGGACCCTTCTGCTGTTTGGCACGGACACATCCTGCTGCTGCTGCTGCTGCTGCTGCTGCTGCTGCTGCTGCTGCTGCTGCTGGTGGGGCAGCAGCAACCGCCCCCCTTGACGAGCTCACATATGGCGATGCCGAAGCTCCAGACATCACTCAGCTGCGCCTTCAGCCGCGTTGCTGCTTCTTCTCCTCCGTGGGCTCGGCCCCTGCTGCTGCTGCTGCTGCTGCTGCTGCTGCTGGTTCGAGTGCTGCTGCTGCTGCTGCTGCTGCTGCTTCGAGTGCTGCTGCTGCTGGGTCTACTGCCGGTGGGCGGGTTCTTGGGAAGCCCGCAACGGCTATTTGCTTCGCTAGCTGCTGCAGAAGCAGCAGCAGCAGTTGCTGCTGTTGTTGAATCAGCAGCAGCAGCAGTTGCTGCAGCAGTAGCAGCATGAAGCGTTCGAGGTGCAGCAGCAGCAGCAGCAGTTGCTGCTGCTGTTGCTGCAGTTGCTGCTGCAGACCTTGTGTGCGTTCTTCCAGCCAGATATTTCTCCTTTGCCTTTGAAGTACCAACAGCAGCAGGAGCAGCAGCAGCAGCAGCAGCAGCAGCAGCAGAGGAGGAGCGCAGCAGCAAACGCTTGCTGCTGAAGACCTTCTCTGGGTCTTGCTGCTGCCGCAGCAACCCCCGCCCATCAACCCGCAGCACCTCAGGGGCGTTGGAGTACAGCGTCCCCTGATTCAAAGACACAAGCTGCTGACGAACCTGCAGCAGCAGCAGCAGCAGCAGCAGCAGCAGCAGCAGCAGCAGCAAGAGCAGGAGATCAGGTGATGAAAGCGAACAGCATAGATAAGGGTTTTGTGAAGGGCACATTCTGCTGCCGTTGCTGCTGCTGTTTCTGCTCCAGCTGCTGCTGCTGCTGCAGCAACTGCTATTGCTGCTGCAGCAACTGCTACTGCTGCTGCAGCAACTGCTGCTGCTGGTGCTGCTGCTGCTGCTGCTGCTGCTGCGCCTACCTGCTTCTCCCAGACGGCGCGTTTCTCCTCTTGGCCTCCTTTCCAAGGTGTTGACGCCCTGAACAGCAGCAGCAGCAGCAGCAGCAGCATCATCATCATAATTACCAGCAGCATCATCAACAGCAGCTGCAGCAGCAGCAGCAGCAGCATCAACAGCAGCAGCATCAGCACCCCCACCACCACTCCCCCCCCC